TTTAGATATGCATGAAAAAGTTACTTACTAAAGATGAATATGAGAGACAATGGTGTAAATGTGGATATTTTTCCAATTACGTTGAGACTCGTTTTACATAAAATTTATTCGACAAATAACAAGAAGTTTACGTAAAGCTTGATCATGTAATTGATTCGACGTAATAGAATAACGTAACGCAAATATCAACCAACAATCTCAACAAGCTCAACGCTGATATCCTAAAGTAAATTATCAATGACCAGAGTGTAGATGTTAATAATTTTCTCAAAATAAATTAGGAGGCCCAAGCGTAATTTTAATTTTTTTTTGTCAAATAAGGCCGCATAGTTAAAATAATTTATACGACATATTCAATTGCAAAAGAACTTCGAGTTTACATAAAACTTGGTCGGGTAATTGATTTGGGGTAGTAAGGTTAAATTATGCAAACATTAACTCCAGTTAACCGTTTACACGACATTAGCTAAAATGAATTTGAGTCAGAAAATGCACAACAGCAAATGGTATAGGCTTTCTAATACGCAAATACAATCTAATACCCTTTGTATTCATAAAATTATAATAATTCCGTAAACGTTTTTTCAAGATAATTATCAATTCCCAAAGTGAAGATTTAAGTAATTTTTCTCAAGATAACTTTCAAATGCCCGAGCGTAATTGTTATTTCTTTTTTAATCAAATAGGAACGCAAAATTAGAATTACTTATGCGAAATATTTAATTGCAAAAGAACTTGGATTTTAACTAAAATTTGGTCGATTCATTGATTTGAGGTTATAAGGTTATATTATGCAAACATCGACTCAAGAAAACCTTTTTCACGACATTAGCTAGAAAGAATTTGGGTCAGGAAATGCTCAACAGCACAAGATGTGGGCTTTATAATACACAAATACAATCTAATACCCTTAGTATTCATAGAATTAAAATAATTCCGTAAACGTCGTTTTCCCATGATAATCATCAATTCCCAGAGTGAACATGGAAATATTTTTTCTCAGGATAACTTTCAAATGCCCGAGCGTAATTGTAATTTCTTTTTTAATCAAATAAGGCCGCATAGTTAGAATTATTTATGCGAAATATTTAAGTGCAAAAGAACTTGGATTTAAGATAGAATTTGGTCGTTTCATTGATTTGAGGTGGTGAGGTTAAATTATGCAAACATCAACTCAAAAAAACCTTTTTCACGACACAAGCTAGAATAAATTTGAGTCGGATAACGCAAAACAGCTAAAGATATGGGCATTTTAATACGCAAATACGATCTAATACCCTCTGTATTTATAGAATTAAAATAATTCTGTAAACGTTGTTTTCTCAAGATAAATATCAATTCCCAGAGTGAAGGTGTAAATATTTTTTCAAGATAACTTTCAAATGTCCGAGCGCAATTGTTTTTTCTTTTTTAATCAAATAAGGCCGCATATTTTGAATTATTTATGCGAAATATTTAATTGCAAAAGAACTTGCATTTTACCTAAAACTTGGTCGTGTAATTGATTTCAGGTAAAAAGGTTATATTATGCAAACATCGACTCAAGAAAACCTTTGTCACGACATTAGCTAGAATTAATTTTGATTTGGAAAACGCACAAAAGAATAAATCGGCTTTTTTATACTCAAATATAATCTAATACCCTTTGTGTTCATTGTACTCAAGATTATTTCTGATGGCCCCAGCGTAAATGTTATTTTTTTAGAAATGTCTGAACACAAATTATCATATTTTGTTGGGACATCATTTATTTAGAATGAACTCGGATTTTATGTAAAATGTTGTCACTGCATTTTAGGGATTTAAATTTTTTTTGCATTTATTTAACCACGTTCACAACATCCACGACATCAAAAATCATTTTGATGTTTGGGAAATATTTTTTCATTCTACGAAACGATGCTTATAATCGTCAGAGCTAAAATCTATTTGCAGGAATTCGAAACACATCGCGAGATAAAGGAGCCTGCCTTTGTTGTGCTTTTGTTTTTTTTTACTGCGAATACTTTGTGCACGGGCACAGCCATGACCTTACAAAACACGATATATTATTTAACTAAAACTTTAGAATTTTGAGAAAAAAAATCCCTTACCTTAAAATGAATAATCCTGGCTTTATTTCCTCAGAGTTCTCAGTTTATTCCAGGCACCGTCGTTATCTCAAGTTGTCCTTTGAAATTGTTTGTTGGCTAGCACTTATGGTTATGAGAGCTACTGGCTCGCAATCTCTCGCTCTACTACGCTTCAGTATCGCTTGAATTTCTTCTTCTTCTTTTATGGCTCCGATTTAGGTAGTATCGCTCGATCAACTGACGAGAGCTGGTTTAGGCGAGCTTATTCGCGTCCATGTTTGAAAAGTTCGTTAGACGTACCGTAGTGGGAGGAAGGGCATTCGTCACAAAGAACCCCCCTCCACATATACAAGACGCCTCTGCCTCGAGTCGATGCTTGCGTCACAAAGAACTCCCCTCCACATATACAAGACGCCTCTGCTTCGAGTCGATGCTTGCTGTAACTCGTAGCATGCTATGTTGAGCTGCTGGTGTTTCTCGCAGTGACGACACGCAGTATTACCACGTTCGAAAAACAAAAATCAGTTCGGTATCACGAACATCAAACAGTGACAACAGAGGCTCTGATGTTCGTATCTGGAGCAAGCTGAACCGAGGAATCGACTTTCTGTTTCAATCTCGTGTTTTTATAATTAATTCTGAATTGAATGATAAGTAGATGAGAGCACGCTAGTTAGCTATAGTATATGAAAAAAACCGTAATTCTATGACTTTACTTGCCCGGCCGTCTAGATTAAATACAAAACGTTTACACCTACTTCAATAGAAAAAATTTAATAAAACATAATAAAACTTTATGTCAATTTATGAAGTACTTATATTTATTTATGTATTTTACTTCATTTTATTCATTTTTTTCTTCGATAGATCTCCGAACAATTAATAATGCTTTTTCAAAGTAACGTTTCAACATATCTGCTGCAAAATTATTATGTAACAATCGTAGTTATTTATTTAAAAATTATTTTTCTGTAGTTTAGAAAAATATATATTAATAAAATAATAATTTTTGAATGATCAGTGTTTTTTTAAAAATTATGTCTTTGGATAGTTCGCATCGTTTTTCATCTAGACGGCCGGGCAAGTAAAGTCATAGAATTACGGTTTTTTTCGTATACTATAGCTAACTAGCGTGCTCTCATCTACTTATCATTCAATTCAGAATTAATTATGAAAATTTTATCATAGTTTTTATGAATATTATCAATCGACTTGAAAAAACTCATAAAGTTGTTTCTAATTTTATATAATATCTTGGTTTGCTTGTGTACTTGTCAAAAATTTTCTGATTTCATTAACATCATAGGTAATCATAGGTTCATAGGTAAACATAGGTAAGTTTAATTCTTACTGTAGGATCCAAACTGACATACTTGCTTCTAATAATCTTTTTGAAAAAAAGAATTACCACTAAAGGATTATTTAAAATCTCAGTTGCTTCTAATTTTATATAATATCTTGGTTTGCTTTTGTACTTGTCAAAAAGTTTCTGATTTCATTAATATCATAGGTAATCATAGGTTCATAGGTAAACATAGGTAAGTTAATTATTTTACTCTAAAACTGTATAAAATTGAAGATGCGCTCGCGCGGAGCAAAAGTCGCAAAGCGGAGAAAAGTCTGGAAAAATATTGCGCTTGTGCATTTTGACAGATTTTTGTCTTCTCTTTTCAATAGTGGTATCATCGAAATGCATAAGCGCAATATTTTTCCAGACAATTTTCAAGACAATTTTCAGTTAATTTCCAGATAATTTTTCTTCGGAACTCAGACTATATTTTGGTTGACTTTTGAATTTAACACTTTATTTTAATTCAATTTTTTAATTTTCTTGACGCCCGGGGTGATTTATGTACAGTAACACCGCAACTTTCCGGTCAAAGTCATCGCCGAGTTCGAATTTCGACCTAGTGCGTGAGCGGGTTACCGAGGACGATATTTCAGCGAAAACATCTCGACTTTCCGAAGAAAGTCATCGTCGAGTCCGTATTCCGATCTAGTTCGTCGAGCGGGCCGCCCGGAATAATATAGTCTCGCGGTAACATCGCACCTTCGCGGATAAAGTCATTGTCGAGTTCGGATCCCGAACTAGTGCGTCGAGCTGGCTACCCTGGACGATACTTGTGCAAAAACATCGCGACTTCCCGGAAACTGTCATCGCCGAGCCCGGATTTTGACCTAGTGCGCCGAGTGGGTTACGCGGAATGATATTTCCGCGGCAAAATCGCAGCTTCCTAGAGAAAGTCGTCGTCGATTCCAGACGGATATCAACCTAATGCTCCGAGCGGTCATTCTATAGGGTAATATTCTCGAGTAAAACCCGTGCAGAAAGTCATTTTCGAGTTTAGAGTTCGACCTGGTGCCCGACCGGGTTACCCAGGATAATTGCGAGAATCTTGATGTCGAGAGAAAAATCTACATGTATCGTTTAAAACTCATACATATCAAATCGATGCGCAGCATCTATACATAGATACATTTAGCCTTATTAATCAATTAAATCGATGATATGAAGTTGGCCGGAAGACTACGTGAGACCGCGTTTTGCGTGAGACCGTTTTTTCGTCGGGGATTTTTTCTTTTATCATTCGTATTTAGTTAATACTGCGTTTTTCGGAGACTATGAATGCACTTTTTTTGGTCACTTTTTACGAGGAATCGATTTACCGAATCAGAATTACCGTATGTTTTATAGATTTCAAATAATAACGTTAGGTTGTTTTCGCGGGTCCCGAAATCGCAATTCTCGCGTATATGAGGAGCGTGGAGTGACGCTGCTCTCGTCTGCCATACTTGCCATTCGGAGCGCGACACGCGCTCCTCGATTAACGTTATATTTTTTTCGGCTTCGAAATGAGAATAAATGGGGTAAAAGACCCGTTGCACTATCTTGTGAAATATAAGCAAAATTATCTAATTCCCGAAATTATGGGCAAGAAGGGCTCGGCTTATTTCTGTAAAACTCGATATCATGATTGGCAAAAATGTGTGATTCTTGCGCGTGACGGTAAGTTATCATTTGGTACTGGGCAATGCCCTTTTATTTATAACCTTCTTCATATTTTTAAACATTTTCAGAAGACTTGCAAAAGTTGAAAGATATTAAAGAAAGCTATGAAAAAATCTACGCTGAAAAAATCAATAAAAAGCTGAAGGATTCTTCTCCTAATTATTTACAGGTAAGACTATTCAAACAAATTTATACTTCAAAATTTTAACAAATTTTGAGTTTCATTCTTTAAGTTAACAATTTAATTTCTGTATCATATACTTAGATTGAAAATAATTCATATGGCCGAGGAGTCTATGCTTCTAAAAACATCTCAGTAGATGAATATGTAGTAGAATATAAAGGAAATGTGATAAAGGGGATGCAACCAGCTCTCAAAATGGAAAAAAAGTATTCTCGTCGAAACGATCAACACTGCTATCTGTATTTTTTCAAATGGAAAACTTCAACAAATTATTGGTATAGCTATTAATTATTTTTGACATTTGACCAATATAATGATTTGATGTTATTGTTTTACAGCATTGATGCTACCGATGATGATGGTAGTTTTGGCAGACTCATAAATCACTCATTCGACGAAAATGTATATCCAATCGTATGGACTAGTGACCAGAACAAGCCTCATATTATCTTTTTTGCAAAAAGAGATATCGCCATAGGAGAAGAGATTGTTTATAACTACACTGAGCATAGAAAGATAATATGGAAATTATATCCATTTTTGGATCCGAACAACAAAAATGAGACTACGAAAACCTTTCAAAAGGGTAATATAATCTTTTTTTTCTAATTTGCCTCTGAAAATGATTTGAGTACGTTGAACTTTTTATGAATAATTTAAATTCTTCTTTCTACATGGTGTGACAATGTCACTGAGCAGTAAATCGCGAAAATGACGCAAGCCGTAATGTGTGAATGTGCGAGTGAGATGCGCGACCGAGAGGATGATAAAGTAGGAAAGTTGGATATCGCTCGAGCGCGCGTTCGGGGTTTCAGGGCAAAGGAGGAGCCAAGTTAACCTCGGACGCGGCTCTCGGATCACGTGCACTGAAGAGTAGATCGAGCCGTGCGAATCGAGCGCTCGCGTTCGATGCGTCGTCGATCTGCGCGACAGTGCACACAGGGATTCGCAATTAGACCGCAAGGTAGAACGGACGTGTCGAGGAGTGAGGAGTCGAGTGTGATAAGCTGTGTGGCAGCAGTGAAGTTGGCCGAGAAGAAGCTGTGTAGCAGCAGAGGTTGGCGAGTAGAGTTGTCGTAGAGAAGCTGTGTGGCAGCGGTAGAGACGGTCGTGAACAAGCTGTGTGGCAGCGGTAGAGTCGGTCGTGAACAAGCTGTGTGGCAGCGGTAGAGTCGGTCGTGAACAAGCTGTGTGGCAGCGGAAGTTCGTGTGTTGTGTTCGTGGAGAGGTTGAGCCCAAGCCTGGAGTGCAGTGCGACGAGAGAAGAGTTGCGAGGTGACGAGGCGATCGTGAGGCTCGGAAGGCAGCGAGCCGCGCGATTCGCTGTACAGCGACTTTTCTGATCAATCGTCCGAGGCATCTCCGAGGCGAGGCAAGAGCCCTTGGACCGGGCAGACCACGAGGACGGAGCAGCTGGGGGACAGCGGGAGTCAACATCGAGAATAAAGGCCGAGGCAACGGAGCGACGAAGAAGGTTGTAAATTGGATTAAGCTTGGTCGGTCGCGCGGATGTGTGAGAGTGTTGTATGATTGCGTAGTGTGAATGTAGAAGAGAAAATAAGAAGTTCGCCGTAGAATCGTTGTAGTACGAGTAGTAGAGATCGGAGTAATTGTAGCGAGTACCTTGGATTCAAGACGTGGTTCGAGTCCACGTGTTGCGTTTCAGGCCGGCGCGTGGCCATTTTTGCGAAGCTGTGACACTACAAGCATCGACGAAGAACAGCTGATGTCTTACCATCA